GTATTACCCTATTTTTCTATTATGAATATCTAGGGTGGTTTTTGGAAAATTGCAAGTTTTTGTAAGCAAGACATTTTAATTCTGCTTTTGTCTTTTTCTCTCCCAGGTGAATCTGGTTTCAGAGCATATCTGGTGTAAAGACTTCCTGGTGCGCAGCTTCTACTTGAAGAATGTTCAGACGCAGGAGACAAGGACATTGACGCAGTTTCACTTGCTGAGCTGGCCGAGTGACGGCATTCCCACCTCTACAAGACCGCTGCTCGACTTTCGCAGGTACAGAAACTGCACAGTCCTCAAGAACAGCTAGTATGTTATATGAACATTACACATAATTCAGTCTTTTCTATAAGTTAAAAAAGATGCAGTTTCTTGAATGACATGTTTAACTACTTTTAAATACTTTCACTGAGTCCCTGTTTTTCTTTTTTCTTGTACCTTTCCAACCATTGACCGCTGTAATATAATAAGGCATTCTTGCTTTTTATTTCATACTATATCCATCCATTCACCCATCCATCTATTCATACATCTATTCATACATCCATCAATCAACCCGGCTCCGTGTCCTTCTTTCCCAGTGTGCAGGTTGATAGGTTTGTATTTTAACATCTCCCAGTGTCATTTTTGTGGTTTGCAGCTAGTACTCTGGCTCCAGTTGCATAGTCACAAAAATGAGCATTGGCAGGTGTGACTGGCTGCTGCAGGCTTCTCCTTCTCCTCCTGTCCTGTCCCCACATCATCATGTCAAACTTGCAACCTTTAAATGCCCTGTCAGTGTGTCTCTCACCGCAAATCTGGTCCTATAACAAATATTTCCATATTTCTTCTACTTCCACAACATTTATTGTCATTCATTTTAGCAGTAGCCACACAAGCCTGTAATTGCTTAAGCCTAAATGTTTACAAAACCTTGCAAAAGTTGTTCTACCTATTAGTTTTTTGGCATTGTGACACATTTCAACCACAACACACACTGTGTTTAATTTTGATCTTGTGTGAGTCCACCAAAACTGGGAATAGCCAAAATGTATCATGTTACTGTGGAGGAGCTGCTGAGAGCCGCAGCATTGGTCGGCACGACAGTTATTTGTCTTGCACTCCATATGGCTAGCTTTCATAGAAGAGTGTCCAAACAACCGTTAGACATACAGTTTAACATTTGGAACAAGCCATGTGTTGGATAAAGTAAGCATATCAAATGAGAAAAGGAGGCATCATTTTCAGAATTCTTAGTGGCGTTATAAACAGGGCCAGAAGAAAATCTGTTTCTGACTGCAACAGATTTGACACTGGGGAGAAAGTTCATTTTCCTACAGGACAAAACTCTGAAACATGTAACCAGAGATACAGAAATGGTTTAGGCCAAACTACTTTTATTTGTTAGTATGATGCAGTAAAACTTCTGAAGTAAATCCAATTGATAAACTGTGCCAGGAATTTAAAACTGAATCTTTACAGATGTTCTCTGTCCAGTCTGACTGAACCTTGAGTCTCCAAAGTTGCAATGGTGAAAGAAATATAAAAAAAAAATATTCAGCTGTCATCAGTAAATTGTGGTTTTACAGTAAAATATTGACAAGGAATTATGCCTGCCACAATTTTTGCAGTTTTGCTTTAAAAAAATAATTTAAATCCAATTACTATCATCAATCATCTTCTACTTTGTGTTGTTGTATGACAAAAAGTTCGAGTAAAACTGATGTCTGTGATTGAAATGTGACAAAATGAGGGCATGAATACTTTTGCAAGGTACACATTATATGCCTTTAATATTTCTAGGATATTGGAAATTGTGCAATATTTTTGCATTTCTCAATTTTAAAAATAATCACATTATGAAGTTTGTGATTTGTAATCAAGATTTTTTGTTCTTTTTTCTTTCTTTCTTCACTGTCCATTGGTTGTTCTTTTCAGAAAGGTGAATAAATGCTACCGAGGTCGATCCTGCCCCATAATTGTTCACTGCAGGTAAAAAAATACATATACACGTTTACATACACACCTGCACACATATAAATTTATATATATACGTGTATATATATAAATACAGTTTAGGTAAACTTTATTAAATATATATTTTGGGGGTTTTCTGCAGCGATGGGACTAGTAGGGCTGGCACGTACATCCTCATCGACATGGTACTGAATCGCATGGCGAAGGGTGAGTCACTCAATACACACAATTTGGAAAATTGTATGAACATTTTCAAAGATCCAGTCTTTGACATGTGCCTCACTGTTAGCACATGTCAAAGTTTAATTCACATGAGTTGACACTAGAGGGAGTTATAGTCTCATTACCGTCATAATATATTTTTTCCTATTTGTCTTCATTAGGAGTGAAAGAGATTGACATCGCAGCCACACTGGAGCATATCAGAGACCAGAGGCCTGGACTGGTTCGCACCAAGGTACCAGCTCCTTTTACATCCTTTTAAATGGTTGTGTTTAAGTATTTCAGCTTAACTTATCTTTTTTTTCTTTTTGAATGAAGTTCATCATAACCCACATATTCCTCTCTCTTGCGCCTCCTGATCAGGACCAATTTGAGTTTGCATTGACAGCAGTTGCTGAGGAGGTGAACGCCATTTTGAAAGCCCTGCCGCAGTGAGATGCAGCAGTTGAGGAACGTGACCGCAACACATGCAGGCACACCAAAATCCATGCTCCAAAGGAGATATTCATCATTCATCTAGATTCATTACGCTGAGAAGAGTCTGCTCAGTCTTGCTGAAATATTGTCATTACAGCCTTGTTCCCCTGTTTCCTTTGTTGTTTTTTAAGCTTTTTGGAGCTTACTGACATAAAAAAATTACTGTGACTGGTTTCTGGCAGGACACAGATCGGACCATATTTATTCACAATTACAATACAAATATAAAATCTATCATTGGTCTCTGATAAGTCCACCTTACTACAAAGGAATGCACCCATCTGGTGTAAAATTAAATCAATTGTGTCTGTTTGAATACAGATGTAAGCTTCACACAACTTCTCATATGAGTGAAGAAAGTATATGTGGCCAAACAGTTGCAATGTACCTCCATATAACTATGATGTCATAAAATTGATCTCAGTGGCCGCTGACAAACTGACTTTTTTGCTGCATTGATAAGTACACCAAAATTAAAACATCTATTCCATCAATCTTACGAAGGCAAAGCAAGGTTAGCCTACTGTTGAGTTTAACTCTTTGGATGTGGTGTTTTGTGTCACAAAAAGTGTCAGTGGTGTCAATTTCTGGACATTTTTTTTTCCATTCCTTTTTCTTTCGAGGCTTTGTCTTTGACTTGCTGATGTAAATGTTCTCTTCCAGCTGTGCTTCTTTAAGCATTGGATTCTGTCCATTGCTATCACCAAATCTTTCTATTTCTGCACACGGCGATGCTTCGTTCGCATTATTTTACCATCTTAGTCAATGTGTGCCCTTGTGATTAATGTAAATAATTCATGCTGATGATTGTGTTCATTTCATGTAGCAGACAAATGGAAAATATCTATAAAAATGTATTTTTGACTTGACCTAAATAAATTTGTGATGTGATGCAGCAGAAAAAAAAAGGAGTCATTTTGCTTTACAGTGTACTTTGTTTATTAAATGATATGGAGGCTAGAGAAAAAGTAGGTTTCAATTGTTTTCACTGATTTCTATCTTAAATAGTTTCCATTAGAGATGTGCCAATTACCATTGCAAATGATTCACAGTTCCTGTGAAGCTTTGACCCTCTGATAGCAACTTCAGTTGATTACAATTTCTAGCTAAAAACATGTAAAACAAATACAATTCTAACCATCAATCCAGTGTGTGAGAGCAGATGGTTTTAAACAAGGTTTTATTGACATTAATAAAATACATAAAAATTATTAGGGAATTTTATTTTAAAGTGTCTTCAGAATTTTATTTTAGTGATTCATCTAGTTGGCTTTGCTCAAGGAATGTAAGATCTGCATTCCTCAGAGAATGTAGATCCTAACGTTTCCAAAAGCCTCTCAACACTTCCATATCCAGAGTGTTTCATGACAGAGGTTGAAAGCTCAAAAAGAATAAAAACTGAGCAACTTGACTGTGCAGAAAGTAGACTTCCTGTCATCTGCTGAAAGTCTTTCCAAATCTCTTACTCACAGCTTGGATAACCAACAGATGTGAGTTATTGTAAAATGTTTATTTTCTTTCTCTGACTTCATTTCTGAATATCTCAGAAAGCTTCAATTCCGGCCTCCCATAACTCATACTTTCCACAGATTTTGCATATGGTGCATTCACTGATTAGAAAAAAACAAAATGACCTATTGAATTTTAGACCAGCCTTTCAGGTCCAATCAAGTTCAATTCAGCTGACTCTGTTCAAAAGCAGATTTGACTGTGCCTCCATGATTACAATTAATCCTTATTTCAACAACAGGGAAATTAACACAAAATTAATCCAAGTGAAAAGTGAGAAAATCTTATTTCCTCTGCTTTATATCTTGAATATATTGTTCCTAATTTGTCCAATAACTTCATGAAGCAAATATGTCATTTCCTAATCTTTGAACAAGATTTACATATTTTGCACCAGTTTTCTAAAGCAGAACTTTAGGAAGAATCAATCAAAAACTATAGTACAAAGAACTATTTTCTTGGTTTCCATTCTTTTTTTTTTTTTACCAGCAGCTACAAATACAGACACAGAGTAATAAATACAACGTTTTTTAAAGTTTAATTCCGAGATGGGAGACATCTTGGGCAGAGAAAGTGCATTGTAGCGACTGACCTTTGACCTGCAAAAACAGATGTTAAAAAAAGGCGTTACAGTTTATCTTAAAGATGATCACTAGGAAGCTACATTGGGATCAAAAGGAAGGAGAGAAAAATGTTTAATATTCAGGGTGTCTCAGAGTCACACTGGTCCTTTACCTCCGAGTTGGGCTTAAGGGCACAGAGCAGCAAGAGCCAATCAGGTTAGCTTGTGAAGGGCTGGAAGTCTGAGTCTGAAACAGGAAGCAGGAAGTATAAGACAGGGCTTTCACTCATGCACTGAGATTAAAATGAAATATTTGATTATGTAAATTATGAGACAGGACTTATATCCAGTCGGAAATAAAAATATAACTATCATTTCAGACACAGTAAGATGATTGAAAGAAGCAATATTAAAATCTGAAAAAAATAATCCAAACTCATCTTTAGGCTCAATTTTTATTTGTCATTTTTCATTAAGCAATGTTTAAAAAAATAACATTGTAGTGCAAACTAGAACAATATTGCAAGGCAATTAATACAACATTCTACCATTCCTCCTCTTTATTGTTAAGGGTGTTGTTCTTCATACTAACAATTAAGAGGAGGAATGATCTTTTATTCGTTCAATATAATTCATTTATTTCCTTTTCCTTTGCCAGTGATAGTAATAATTGTATCCAAAACACTCAAAACGTGAAACAATTAAAGCACCGATGAAATGTGTGTGCCAGAACATTAACATGTATGAGGAACCAGAAAAATAAGTCAGACTGGCTGGTCTATAGCTTTAACACTAGACACTACTGCTAACTTACTTTTTATGTTTTGGCATTTGGCACCAGCAAGACTGTTCTTAACTTAAGATGCAATTTCTATAAAAACAATCCTTTTCACAGTTACTATTGGACCATTAAACATGATTTTTTTCCTCATTCAAGGTCTAAAACAAAGTTTTCTCAAATAAGTCAGCACCAATCATAGCAATAGCCCACACTAACACGCACACACACACAAGCTCTCTGTACCTATTAAATTCTACACTTTAATGTGCACATAAAGATTTATTACTGTAGTTTAAGTAATGTGCCATTACAGTGCAATGGTGAGAGTAAAGAGTGCATAAAAATATAAACGGGAAGATAAATGGCAACCTCACATTTTTTTAAATTTGTAACATAATTTATTTGCTATTGTCTTCATCTGTTGGTTATTTCTTAAAAAGAAATAGTAGAAATGACAAATTTGCACTTTATCAAGTAAGAGGATGCTTTTATCTAAAGCAGCTTACCCGTAGCCAAACTATTCTGAAGCAACTTGGGATTTTAGTCTCTTGTCCAAGATCACTGAATGAAAACCGAGAAAGTTGGGAATTGCACCAGTGACCTCCAGGTGAAGGACCAACTACTTCCCTGAAGTCACAACAATCCAATTCAAGGTAAGTGTAGCTCTGATAGTATTCTGAAGCTATACCTTAATAACATCAGCTCTACTGATTCATTCCAGTATAGCTTTGCACCTCTAAAGGCATTTTTAACCAAAAGTAAAACAGATCAAGCTTAGTTAGATTGGATAGATTTGATCAGTTAGCATCCATTTTAAGGTATTTGACTACGCCTTTCTAACTCTAAAGAGTATCTTTAGAGTTAGCTATAGAGATGCAGCTATGGCTGTCTGCTCAGTGCCACTGGAAGGAGAACCACCACATCTTTGACTCTTCTACAGACTCTTTACAAGTCTGTAGACTTGTAAAGTTTCTTTGTACTTTACTTTGTTTACTTCTATTCACCTTCCAGTCAACACTGACCATCTTCATTCTTTCAAAAGAAGAATATACCCACAGAATGATGCTGCCACCACCATGTCTTACAATGGGGATGGTGTCTTGAAGGTGATGTTCTGTGTTAGGTCAGGCATTATTTAAGGCGCTTATCATCTAGATCAAAAAGTTTCATTTGGTACGCCTTTCGCCTACATTGGCGGTATAAAACGTTTGAGCTAAAATTATCCAAGAAGTACTTTCCCAAGGCACTGTACATTTAATTACTCTGTTCTTTAAGGTAGTTTGTTAAGAAAACTGTGTGCATTTTGAACATGTCTAAGTTCAGATGTTGTGCTTCAAATAATTTCATTTTTAATCAATGATTCTCAGTAAATTACAGACTTATCTAATCAAAGACAAAAACTGCCACAGAACATCCTGTGTGATGCACATTTCAATTACTGAGCCTTTGCCATAGAGTCTGAACGAGAACATTCTGTGGCAGAATTGCAGTTAACCCACACACTTAGACAAACAGAGAGCTCGTTTTACACGTTTCATTGTCATAAGGCTTTTGCTTGTTCTTTAAAAAGAACCTAATATTTTTCATCTAATTCCTTAGCACCAACCTGTTAATGAACAATCCCACTTCAAACCTTCTCACTGAAACCAAATGTTTTGTAGCTCAAATCCAAAAAACACACTATCCCCAATTTCTAATAATTTCTCTTAAGAATACAAAACTCAAAGTGTTTCTCATCTAACTTTCTACACATTCCCCCTGTCAGCTCTCATCCTACTCAGACATTCCCTTTCCCATCTGTGAAAATATTAAAACTGGCACATGCACAGTCATTCAGAAACAATCATTTGATGTCCTTTGCAGCTACAAATCCAAACAAGTTTAATTTTGAGGTTCACCTGACCTCATGAGCAGAAGTCAAGATTACACACTGAAAACAAACACTCCAAGACTTTAAAGTTTGTTTCTTTCAACTGCTATTTTTGACATCAAAATCTTTAACCTTGAAGAAGGATTTTTGCACTCACAATGCAGTGTGGTTAGTTGACACCATGGTAAGTATAAGCATGGGAAGCCTTCCCAAATATGCATTTAAACCACACTAGCACATAACACACCCACACATTTTCTTTTTCACACAGCCTTCAGATGTTTTTGCTGCAGGTTTGACCTTTTCTTCACTTGTAGCAGCAGCTGGGGATGGCTCTTTGGTTCCCTTTTGCTTCGTTTCAATAATATTTCCAGATCTTGTGCCAGATTCAAAGTGACCTCCATCATCTCGCTCTCCTGCAGCTACTTTGCAACCACTGGACAAATTAACTTTTTGTCCATTTACAAGCCCTTCTCTCGTGCAGCCCTTCTCAATTTTACCACATTTGGTTCTGCCCCAACCCCGAGCACCTGATATGAAGTTAGTAGAATTGGCTTTCTGCTGGGCCTCCATTTCTGACAGGCTGCACGCCAAAGCCATCTGAAGGTCTTCATCTTCATCATCTTCGCTGTCCCCTGTAGCCACATGATTGTAGCTGGGAGCTGCACTAAATGAGCGAAGGGGAGTCGCAGAGCGGTCGTTGTGGTGGGCTGATTCGTTCATGATGGAGGATTTCTTAGAGGACTTCTCTCCTTCTCTTCTGCTGAGCTCAACTGCGAGAGCCATTTCATCTTCCACACCTATAAGAAACACACAAGAAGAGGTGGTTATGTTTATACATCATATGGTTAAACTAATTAATTACTTATAAAAATGTTAAGATTAGTCTTCATGTTATATGAAGTAGCGTTAGAGCCGTTGTTTCAGTAAGATTTTATGGTCAAATTTAGTGGAGGCCGTAACACTTGCTGCAAACCATAACTTTATATCAAAATAACATACTAAGTTGCACAGAATATTAATTTAGAATAGCATTATTATAAAACAAATGCTACAAAAGAAGTTATCACTCTTTCACACAGTTTGCAGAAAACTTCAGTTTTGTGCACCAATCCCTCATAACACTACAACCTAATATTATTGGCCAACTTTTATGTTTGATTAAATAAAATTAGACTTGTGAACATTTATTATGGTGAGCATTTCTACATTTAGACTACAACTCCCCCAGATACTATTTAGTAAAAATGTGTTTCTAATTTTTTTTTTTAACATGTTTTCAAACTGTTCTATTTTTTCCTTACTTTTTTGCCTTTTGCGTTGCCAGCTTAGATGTAGGCTATCCCTCTAAAATATTTACCCACACACACAAAAACCTGCCCTCCTCCCCATGTAAAATGTGCGTCTTCATAAACATTTCGACTCCTTCTTACCGGGATAACAGCAGCTAATCTGACCTCTTCCTCAATCTATCTCTGGGTCACGTCTCTCATCTTCCTCCAACGACGACGAATCCATTGTATCGCTAATTCTCCCTGCTTCTCCAGCCCTCAATCTGTTCCAGCGGTCGAAGTTTGTGTGGTAAACATATGAGTTAGTTTGGCTTTTCTGCGTCCATTTAGAGGCTTTTTTTGCTTTTCTTCTTGCAGCTTTTCTGGGCCCCCCCCACCAAATAACCACTTGCTTCTCTACTCCGGTCAGATGAAATGAAAAATGTATAACCTTGGAACCTTGGAAGAGGGAAGAGGCAAGAGGGGCAGGCCAAGAAGGTCTGAGGGATTTCTTTGGATTAGTCCAAGAAAATCCATTAAGAAAATTAAGCATTGGACATTGCAGTCAATAAAACTTATTTTTAATATACTGTTTTGGTTACATTTTAACAGCCTTAGTCCAGCCCAAATTTGTCCATCACCCCACCGGGCATTGCCTGGTGTGCCAGACGACCATCCACCCCTGCTGCCATGACCAATAGACATGATCAATGTCTTCCAAAATAGTCACAACTATACAACTCATAGTTTTTGAAGATTATTTTTAATCTATTTTTGGAGGAAATAAGATTTTTTCACAGATTATTTCTTCCACCAGGGTGGGCAACTCCAGGCCTCGAGGGCCGGACTCCTGCAACTTTTAGATGTATATCTACTTCAACACACCTGAGTCAAATGATGAGATCATTAGCAAGACTCTGGAGAACTTGACTGCAGTAGGTGTGGTTCAGTTATTGGATTCAAGTGTGTTGGACCAGGGAGATATCTAAGAGTTGCACAACACTGGCCCTCGAGGACCAGGATTGCCCACCCCTGTCTTACACCATGCTGTCACAACATAGTGACAGTTTTAACAGCAGTGCATACAGTAGTTTTAAGAAAGAGAACCCATATGTTAACTTTGTTTTAGTTTAATATGCATTTCCTATTAACAGACTTGTTTGTTTTTCGGTTGAATTGCCTAGAATAATCTCACAATAAAGATGGAAAAAGTGTGAAGGTGATTTACTGTGGTCTCATTTTTTAGGTCTCATATCAGTAATTTAAACAGGAATTTGTGTCCTTTTGAGAGTTTAATAATAACATAAACACAATAAAAGTAAATAAAACTCTTAGCTCTTATTTAAGGAAGTTAAATATGGAGACTATATTGATAGACTGAATAGGAATTATTCCATTTTATAAACATGAAACTGGAGAAAGGTTAACAGAGTGAGAATGGGAAAAATATCCTCATGACTAAATTAAAATATTTCCACATTTCTCACCACTTATAGTGTTCAGTTTCTTACCATTGATAAGAACACTCTTTAATACCCCATCCTCTTCAATCTCTATCCTCTCCTTCCCATTTTCATTTATCCTACAAATAAAACAAACTAGGATCAGTGAAAAAGAAAAAAAATGCACTTCATCAGAAAGAAAAAATTACTTTAATGGAAGTATTTAATTGCCTGAATGGCTTTATAAGAGGACGTTTCACATACCTTTTGGTGGTGGTGCTTTTTCCATTTACAATGCGAGTGGAGGTAGAAACCGATCTGAAGTTAGGACCTCCCATGCTCTCCATCCCGCCGAGACCACCGAAAGAGGAGGAAAAAGAGCTAAATTCAACTGCAGAAAAGAAAAAAAAAGAAAAACAGAATTTTTTGCAGATAAGCACCATTTGTTAAATATAAAAAAACAAGATTTAACAAGCTATTTTAACTGAAAACATAATATGAAATTGCTTATTATTGCATTGAGCCCTTAGGTGTTTACCTCCAGATGAGGGAAAAGAGAAAAATCGACTGGGGCCAAGGCGAGAATGTGGGACTCCAAACGATGCAAAGTCATCTGGATGAGAATTGCAGTCATGTCAGCATATATCAGCCCATAAATATAGAAGGAAAGGCATCGAGGAAAGGGATGATGATTTCTACTAATTTTTGTCCAGTACAGGTGAGATCAGTTACTTTAATGACTTTTTCATTTATCTACATCCATTTCCTAACTGAGAAGAAAATTCAAAAATGTTTTAAAGTCATGGAGAGAAAATAATTTAACCTTGTCCCAAAAGTTTGACATACCAAAAAAGCTAGCAAAAGGATCCTGTCCACCAAAAAACTCTCTGAACACCTCATCCGGGTTGCGAAATGTGAAGGTGAATTCTGGGAGGTCTGAGAAGTCTGTAGTGGTAGAACCTGGGAAATTATGATGTCAGATTTAGTGAATGAGGCAAGTATCACTATATCAATAACTGAAAAATAAGTTGTAGATTGCTAATGCCAAAAGATATCAATTAAAGTAAGTTGCTTTAAAACACTTATCTTCTATACATCAGGTACGTGTATTTACCTGAGTGCCGCACATTGTCATTTCCATATCTGTCATATGCATCTCGTCTGCTTTCTGTTGAAAAAAAGAAAAAAATAAAATAAATAACACCCATAAATAAAAGTGCTAGGGTAAGAAATTAATACCAATATGTTAAAACTGCATTTTAAATGCTGCACCATTAGTACATTGTGAATGAGAGACCTCTTTTTTTTTTTTTTTGATTGCTTGAAAGACGATCTCAATGACTGGTAAAAGCGTTTTTTCTTTATTCTAACTTAAATTTAATTGAGTAAAGTGTGAGGAGTTTAAAACACACCAACATAAATCTTTAAAATATGACTTACTGTCAGACAGGACTTCATAGGCCTCAGCAACTTCTTTGAATTTTCTCTCTGCCTCTTCCTTGTTGTCTGGATTTTTATCCGGATGCCATTTCAGGGCCAATTTCCTGTACCTGCACCAGATATTCAAAGACAAATGCCAATCTCAACTATACAACCACACAAACTGAAAAAAAAAAAGTATTTTATAGCATAACATTATAATAAAAATAGTTGTATTAATGGAAATGAAACTAAAAATTATAAATGTCCTGTCATTTAGCCAAGCCTAAATGGCCAGGGCAGCAATAAGTTACATTTGAAATAAAGTTATTTTTTTCATACTTGACCATACCACAGACAGCCATCAAATACTCTTATTGTACTTACGCCTTCTTGATGTCATCCTGCGAAGCATTCCTGGATACTCCCAGCAAACTATAATAGTTCACCATAATCGCCTCTGGTCACTCTTTAGAACACCCCTCTGAAATTCAATCATTTACTCATATTTAATCAGGGTGAATAACTTTCTGAATATTATTATTGTCCATTAAGGCAATTACAAAAATACATGTTGAACAGCTGTGACAGAATAACCAAAACTATCAAAATAATATTAAATAAAATATTCTTGATACGTATTTTAGCAAAGATGCCATAAAATAAAAACAATACTGTTCATGAAAAATGCAAAGTGGATTGTGTAGTTTCTCCAGCTTTAAATTTGGTTTGCAAAGTAAAGCTATCTGAGGAGTTAATCATGCATTAGATCTGAAAAAATAAACATGACACTTTTTAAAAAGCAGCATATTTTTTTTAATATGCTAATAAAACATCCATAATGGCTTAAGTTTTATTAAAAATGCCTACGTTGTTTAAATAATGTGACACATGCATTGCAAATTGATGCTTAAAATAACACTATACTGTGCTCATTGCTAAAGTATAGCAGTTATAGTTACTTTTAAGCATTTTAAAAATAATAAAATATATTGTTAAACTTCAGTTAGAAATAGTAGTTTGTTTGAAGCATTAAAAACGCTTTTTAAAGTAAGAATTCTAGTGTCCTTGACCTGAGTGCAGTCAGCAAATTTATAACAGCGGCAACACGTTAGTCATCAGTCTCCTGCTGCAGCAGTTTCCAAGCAGAGGGGGGCTTCGGGGCTCAGGAGAAACTAAACTAAACTTAACTTTTTATCTCCCCTCGGGGAACTCCATGCGCTCACACAAGTTGTATGCAGGACTGTGGCATCTGACAACTGCTGCTGTCATGACAGTAGGCCTGTCAGAAGCCTAAACACGGCAAATGTATATTTACACGCACAGGTGCTGTGCTGTTTCAGTGCGAACAGTTGGGGGAGTTACCGTTAATTCAGAATATCAGAGCCACATCTTCCTTTTATGGTGAATTTGGGTTTATTATAAACAAACAACTGAGTGTAAGGGCAGTTGGTGGTAGCCACACTTTACATGCCACAGACAAAAATTACCCACCTTTCAAGTGTTACGATCCAGGCAGTTGAGCCGTTTGTCCTCCGCACAGATGACAGTTAATATGTCTTGTGGAATAATTTTCTCTTGTGACAACCAAGTAGCCACCTCCCTCTTCTGTTTTGCTTCCAAGATGTCTCGTCACGAATGTTTTCCGGCGATACAGTGTCACTACAGTTATGGTCAAAGCCTCGTGCTGTGCTCCCGTGGTTTCAGTAAGGAGGACATGAAGACTGTTTACCCAGTTTACGTTGAGTGTTGGTCTGAGCCGTGCCCACTACGTCACTGCGAGCGGACGGAAGGCGTCTAGAAAATACTAGCGTTCACGATACGTCACAAGCCCCGCCCACTCTCATGTTGGGCTCGTTGATTCCATGTCTATGGTTGATTCAACTACGTTAATTAAAAAGCCGGTGTTCTGACTATCTGTGCTAGCCGTCTAAAACGTATACTGTCATGTTTACAAACTGAAAACTATAGCGGGTTGTGTTAATGTTAAATATTATCATTGGATAACATTCTTTGAGTGACGAGAATGAAGCTTTGGAGTTATTCTTGGCACATCATTGGAACAATTTATATGCACGACAAAAACCACAAAAATATCACTTCCTTTCAACAGAATACCCTATCCGTTTAAAATGAAAAGCAATCGCAGTTGTATGCATTAATCTTTTTAGAATATCCTACCTTCTTAAAAAAAAATTTAAATTCACAGGTGTCTGCGAGAATGAAATAGTATCGCAGAGGAAAGTTCTTATTGCAATTAAATTAAACACAGACATGTACAAATCTCATGTATTAATAGGGAAGAAGACTTAGTTAATCCTATACTGTACATCGTTTCAATGTAATGACTTGCAATGCCCTAATAATCAAAATTGTTCAATTAAGAACATGTTATTATATTCGTGTTCCTGTTCAATATGTTGTGCAAAAGAGACAACAAATTATATTACTTAGACAAAATAGTTACCAACTAACTCATAAAGCAAGAAACTCTATGAATACGTAATAGTAATAATGACAATTTAAGTAACAATCATACAGCAACAGAAGAATTATTAACGCCTTGCCAATTTACACCGAGCTACACAAGCTGTGTGTTTAACCATTTTACTCTGGGAAAAACGGTCGATTTCCTTAATAAACCGAGTAATATGGACTTCTACAATACGTGTTACTATATTTGAATTACTAATTTCAGAGTTGTAAAGGAACTGAACATTAGACGTTTAATTAAAAACACTTTGAGGTTATAAGATTTGTAGACTTGAAATCAAATTAATGAATCATGTGAAAATTAAGCTGCCCCCAAATATTTATCTTCAAGGTTTAACATCGTCAATGTTAAGCTTTAGCCACCACTGGTTATTGTTATGGTCTGATGTTTAACAATCAGTGTTATCGTGGCTGTTTAATGCCATCCGATGTTTACCATTTAACATGCAAGATATTTAACGTCCCTGATTTTGTACTTAATCACGGATAATGCTTAACGTTACCCTTGATGTTTAACATTACTGCCGATGTTTATCAGATGTCAAACTTCATCTCTGGAAAAGTTTGCTTTTACGTTAAACACTGGAGATAAAGTAAAACATTCCAGGTACAGTAAGCATCAGCTATAACCTTAAACATCAAGGATAATGATAACAATGGACATAAAATAAGAAATTGGGGACAACGTTAAACATCCTATACAACATAACATTGTCCCCAATGTTTAATATTGTCTCTTTTTCTGTCATCTCAAAGGAAATTTAACCTGTTGCATTTACATTACCTATTGTGTGTGTTAGTTTATATGTTTTATATTGAACTAATTGTATCTGTAAAATTCCTCCTGTTTCTTCATCCTGGATTTGTTACTTTATGATGTAGTATAATGTTATGTTATTTATTTGAATTGATTTCCATTTTAATCTGTAAAACATAAGAATTTGAAAATAAGTTCATATGTTTGTATGTCTGACACATTCTAAATTATAAATTACAAATAATATTTTAAGCTTAGCACATTATGCTTTTTTGCTTTACTGTGGACATAGTTCTAATTCAGTAAAATATGTTGATGAAGTGCTCTTCTTACTTGAGTAAGAGGAGTAATATTTGAATACTCTAGCCAACTCTGATTACGAGTCACATTTATTAATAGAGTTGTGCAGTACCTTTCAGGCAGTCATGTGAAGTGTGTCACAGAAAAAATGTCTCCCGATTGCTTTTGCTTCTTTATTTGCTTTGGACAATTGATGCCCATGATGAATAGGTCTTTGAACCTTAATTTGCTATGCCTTTGACTTTCAAAAAGATCACAATTCACCTAGTTCATTCATTTGAGCCTTTATTGATAATACTGACAGATCACTTTCTCAGCATTTATGTATGTTGCTGGGAATGTGCTCTATTCAGAGCACCATTTGGAATGTGTGCTGGTTTTGGCCCCTTTAATACTCCTCTCCTTCTTCATCTTCATCTCCCATGCTGTCAGTGCCCACCTCTTCATAATCCTTCTCCAAAGCAGCCATGTCTTCTCTAGCCTCTGAGAACTCTCCCTCCTCCATTCCCTCTCCAACATACCAGTGGACAAAGGCTCTCTTGGCATACATGAGATCAAACTTGTGGTCAAGCCTGGCCCAGGCCTCAGCGATGGCGGGTGGTGTTGCTCAGCATGCACACAGCTCTTTGCACCTTAGCAAGGTCTCCTCCAGGAACCACAGTTGGAGGCTGGTAGTTGATCCCCACCTTGAACCCTGTGGGACACCAGTCCACGAACTGGATGGTACGTTTGGTCTTGATGGCGGCAATGGCCGAGTTGACATCTTTGGGTACAACATCGCCACGGTATAGCAGACAGCAAGCCATGTATTTACCATGACGTGGGTCACACTTCACCATCTGATTAGCTGGTTCAAAGCATGCGTTAGTGATGTCAGCCACAGATAGTTGTTCATGGTAGGCTTTTTCAGCAGAGATCACTGGAGCATAAGTGGCCAGAGGGAAGTGGATACGAGGATATGGGACCAAGTTGGTCTGGAACTCGGTCAGGTCAACATTCAGAGCTCCATCAAAGCGGAGAGATGCTGTGATAGAGGACACAATCTGGCCGATAAGCCTGTTCAGGTTGGTGTAGGTTGGTCTCTCAATGTCAAGGTTTCTGCGGCAGATATCATAGATGGCTTCATTGTCCACCATGAAGGCACAGTCAGAGTGCTCCAGTGTGGTGTGTGTGGTTAGAATGGAGTTGTAAGGCTCCACTACTGCTGTAGAAACCTGGGGTGCCGGGTAGACAGCAAATTCAAGCTTGGACTTTTTCCCATAGTCGACAGAGAGTCTTTCCATCAGCAGGGAGGTAAAACCAGAACCAGTTCCTCCACCAAAGGAGTGGAAGATGAGAAAACCCTGCAGACCAGTGCACTGATCAGCCTGAAAAAAATGGTTTGTGAGGAATTAGAAATTGACTCCAGCCAGAAGTATAAGTTAACCACAACCTCTCAAGAAATCAAAATGCTGTAAAGCTAGAGCAAATATTCTTCAAACCCTCACCAGCTTACGTGTCCTATCTAGAACAAGATCTATGATCTCCTTGCCAATGGTGTAGTGACCACGAGCGTAGTTGTTGGCAGCATCTTCCTTTCCTGTAATAAGCTGCTCAGGGTGGAACAGCTGACGGTAGGTTCCTGTACGCACCTCATCTGTAAATGAGCAATAAAAAAATTTAAATGAAAACCAGTTCACAACATCAAATATTTCTAAATGATTGTTCATCTATAGACTGCTGACCAATGACAGTAGGTTCCAAATCGACAAAGATGGCTCTGGGTACATGCTTTCCTGCCCCTGTTTCACTGAAGAATGTGTTGAAGGAGTCATCCCCTCCTCCAATAGTCTTGTCAGAAGGCATCTGACCATCTGGCTGGATTCCATGTTCAAGACAGTACAGCTCCCAACATGCGTTGCCCATTTGGGCTCCAGCTTGGCCAACATGCATAGAAATACACTCACGCTAAAGAAATAGGAGAGAAGTTGATTACTTTGTGAGAATGTTTGCACACAGAGCTTGAATTAAAACACTAAATACTGCAGGCACTAGAGTAACTAAGAAGCATATGTGGGCGTCACTGAAACATAAGGAAGTCTCCATTGTGTCTTGAAAAATAGAAAAAAATAGAAAATTTGGCAGACAGGAAGGCTATGCGTCAAGAAGATGGAAAATTCTTACTCACACCTCCCATTTCTGTATTCCTCCCTTTCCTCATCCCCTCCCCCATTTGAATCCCTCCTCCCATCCTGTCCACAGCTGCAGACTGTAGTGCTGTGTAACACTTAGGGATGTCTCTCTCTCTCCCTCTCTCTCTTCCTCTTTCTCCACATTTCCTAAAGCAAAGATTCCTTACAAAATGTCTGCCATCTCGCTTGTATTGCAGGCAAACCACTCCTCTTTTCTCTTTCCTGTTTATTTCAACCCTCCCACTGCCACGATTACCATGACCAGTCCCACTGAGAAAAGAGACCAGTAAATCTAGATGTTCTTTTTGTCCTTTTTTGGATATGTTTTTGCTTCTTAACATGACATACTGACATGATACACATCTTGTAATAAAAAAAGTTTTGTAACATATGAATTCTCAATTATCTGATCTAGTTTTGTCAAACACATAATAGAAGTCTATGTGAATTGTTCATTTTATACTGAATTACAAATACACTCACTTCCCTCCTCCAAATAGTCAATAAAGACTCTCTGAAAGGCTTTGTTATGTAAAATGCATTCCCATTGGCTGCTGCTTACATGGAAAAACTTTCCATTGTTTCAAAACATTTATTTCAGTAGAGGCAACTTAGCTTTAAGAGGCTCACATGTTGAAGCTAAACAATGAAAATAGACAGTGGAAATTTCCAAGCCATGTCATCAGCTATGCAGCTACTCACCATTTTGTCTGCTTGTCCTTCGACTGACGATGAGGATTCAGACACAAGGCAGAAGTGCAGAAAAAAGGGAGAGCCGGGGCTTATATACACAAGGATGTGAAGGGGGCTGGCAGTAAACCACAGACAGCAGCTGCATAGTTCACTGGCGGGAGGGATCAGCAGTTAAGGGAAAAAAAGGGGCAAGTTCCTGCCGTTGCTTTTCATTATAGCCACCTTAAAACACATTTATTTATACAGTGTTTCGGGCATTGCAAAAACACAAGTTCTGAAGGAATCAGTTTAATCAGTTTAATTCCCCTATTTGACAGTTCAAATAGGTTTAAAATCTTGTTTTTTTTATGTTCATTTATATTTGTGGACA